CCCCACCGGTAAGTCACAGAGGTTGGCTTTCCACTCCCCTGAGTAGTCTGAGAGGGAACTGAGCATGCTCTGGGGAAAGGGGAACAGGAAGCCTTCCCAGCAGTGGTTCTCAGGGAGGGCTTGGTAGCAAAACGTTCAATGAAAAACAGTTTCAAGCTGGGCACGGTGGTGCACTCCTGCAATCCCAGCAGCTCAGGAGGCTGAGACAGGAGGATCCCAAGTTCAAGGCCAGGCATAGTGAGGCCCTAAGCAACTCAGCAAGACTCTGTCTCTAAATATAATATTTTAAAAGGGCTGGGAATATGGCTCAGTGGTTAAATGGCCCTGGGTTCAATCCTCAATACCCAAAAAATAAATAGACAGTTTCAAGGTAAGTGTGGAACACGCTACTCCAGGCCCTAGTCCCAAGCTCCCAGCCACGGTCCAATCAAGGGCTCTGAGAAAGCCTGCTGCAAAGCTGTCTGCTCAGCTTGCTCTCAGTCTCTCTCTTACGAGTTGACCTGTTTGCTGGTCCTGCACTCCCGGGCATGCCCAGGACTCCCACGGAGCCCACCGTGGTCCACAGCTGACCACATTGTCTGCTGGAGGCGCTGGGCCCAGGGCTGGAGCCAGGCTCTTGGAAGGGCTGGAGTGGGCTGTCAGCACCCCAGCTCCCCCAGGGGTACCCCGCCGTCCCCCCAGCCCATTGTCCACACCTGATCAGGCTTTTGGAAACATAAATCTGACTGCGTTCTTCCCTTGCTTAAAACCTTTAGTCAGCACTGTGCAATTGCCCCTGACGGAACCTCTGGCAGGTCTTCCACACCCTGGTCCCTGTGCCTCCCCCTGCCTCCCCTGGATCTCTGCATGCTCTGAGCTCCATGCATGCGCCTTCCCCCACCTCCACCAACAGCCCAGGGCTTTACTGCCACCTCCAGGCCTCAGCACAGGGTGTTCCCTGTCCTTTTTCTTGGTTTGTTGTCACTTAGAATCTGCAGATCTCAGCTGAAATGTCACTGTCCTGTGAAATGCTGTGGGGCATCTCCACCGTAGAGCACAGCCCCCCCTTTTCCCTTCATAGTACCAGGTGCCACAGATAATCTTGCATTAATTTGAGTATATGTTTCAGGTCCACAAGGGCAGAGACTGGGGTTGTTTGGTTTATTGTTGAAGTTTCAGGAGCCTGAGCTGAACCTGGCGTGTAGTAAGTGCTCAATAAAGACTTGTTGAATGAATGACTAGAGATGACTTTTTAAAAAGAAACAGCTCAGTGGTAAAGCACTTACTTATTATGAACAAGGCCCAGGGTTCCATCTCCAGCACCGGAAAATAAAAATATCAAAGTCAAAGGAAATAACTAAGAGAAGAGGAGAGAGTAGATATAGTCTGATTTCAGCCTCGTAGGAAAACAGATCAGTTGGCCTCCACTGCCACCAACATTCTTTCCAGGCATATTTGGTCACAGTATAAGCAGGTGCTTTCTCAGCTTTTTGCAGAGGAATTTTGCCACATCTGGGCTCCTTTAATCTATTTGGTGTTTTGTTTTGTTTTGTTTTGTTTTTAGGGGGGAGGGGACATTTCCCAAGTACCAACTATAAACCAGGCACTGGGCTAGGCTCTGGGGATGCAGCCAAGTCTTCCTGGACCCTGCCTGTCCCCTGCTCCTGGTCCTATCCTTCTCTCCCTTTCCCAGGCAGCCGGCGACAGCTCAGCCCGTATCTCTCTCGGTCCCTTTCCTTCCCCTCGTCCTGGGATTCCTGCCTCCAAATAGAATCTAAAGAGATTCCTCATCAGGAAGATGGAAGACCCTGTGCCAACATGTCTGGTCTGACTCTTCTCACGTTCTCCACAAGACAAGCCGGGTCCCCGCCACGTTCACACAGGCCTCTTCTTCCTGTGTCTTTCTCTGAGGCCTCGGGGGTCTTTTATCCACAGGGTCGAGGAGTGCCCCTTTAATCCCACCGGTTCCCAGGCCATCCGTCCCATCCCTCTCCAAAGATTACTCCCGCACGTGGCTGGTGGGAGGTTGAATCTGCACCTCCCCTAAGGAGGGCGACGTGGCAATGTCTATCAAAATGAGAAGCGCATCTACCTGTTGGCCCAGTAACTTTGCTTCAGGGAAAAAAGATTCACTCGCACACGTGCACAATGATGGAAGTACAGGGTTATTCTGTAGCCTCTGCAGTAAAGAAGCAGGATGTGAGCAGTGAGCCCCGACCCGGCTGGATGAAGGAAACAGGAGCATACTCACTGGGCACTGGGACGAGATCAGGCACAGAAAAAAACAACCAGGGCTCGCTGGGGCCTGTGCTGTGATAAGATTTGCTTGTACATAGAGCAAGGAACTCAGGCTGGGCACCCAAGAACCAGAATCCATGGCAAGAAGAAGAGGGGAACCAGGTGTCTGTGAAACAGGGGAGTCTTCTAACCAGATATGATTTACAATTTTACGTATGTGAAACTGGCATGTGTGTGTTTTGAATGATGTGGGTGTGCTATGCAATCAAATGTGTTTCTTCAAGCTGTTTTGCAACCTCTGAAAGTTTGTCCTAACTGGAAACCTACCGGGATTTGTCTGCAGCCTGGTTGTCGGATAACCTTCAAAATCAGGTCTCTTGAAACAGGCTGGCTCATTCGGTCCCTTGGGAAGCTCCCAGGACCCGGGAAACTGACCCCAGGGAGCAGTTCCTTCATCCCCTGGGGAGTCTTGGGCATGCCCAGACTATCCTGTTTCTCAGAACCCTAAAAGTGTAATCCTAAGTAAGGGGAAATGTGGGTGTTCCTATCTAAAACAAATAGCCCCTTGCTTCTTGAAGCCCAGGCTGCTGAAAATTCAGACCACTTCTTCCAGTCAAAACCCTTCACTCCCAGCAGGGGACCCTATCATACTTCTAGCCTTCTGGTGACAGCCAATCTGGTCAGGGGACAGAGGCTTACCCTGTTTTCCTTTCCCCTCCAAACTAGGGATAAAACCCAGGGGCACTTTACCACTGACCCATATCCCCAGCCTTTTTTATTTGGAGACAGGGTCTTGCTAAGTTGCTGAGTCTGGCCTCTGACTTGGGATCCTCCTGCCCTCAGCCTCCCAAGTCCCTGGGATTTTGTGTGTGCCACCACACCCAGCCAGAACATGTTCTTACCAGGTTGGATCCCACCAGGGCCCTCCCAAAGGTCCAGCCAAAGGTCCTCCGCAGACAGCTCTGGAGCCTCCTCCCAAAGAGGCTTCCCGTGCCTGGGAATGAGCAGAAGGGAGGCAAGCCTGGTCCTCTGAGGGGCTGGCTGCCCCTGCTGGACAGCAAGCAGCCCAGGAGCAAGGCTCAACCAGGGGGACAAGCGGCAGGGGGCGCTACCCTTGCATCTTTACGCTCTGGGGGACAGTCCTGAAGCTTGGATGACAGGCTCCCAGCGGGTCCCCAGGACTGAGCCAACAGCCCAGAGCAGTGCTCGGCTCCCTGGGGCACCGGATCCTTACCTCTGAATCCTCATCAGGGAACCTGAACCGGGACCAGGTGATGGGGCACCCCGCTGTGAACTAGCCTCCATGCGAACCAAGGGAGGTGACAAGGGAGCAAGCTTGGGCTGGCGCTGGAAGGGTGAGTTCCTGGCCTGGCTCATCTGCCATGGCCTGAGCTCCTTAGGACACTCCCCGGGCCACTGGGCCTCTGCCCTCTGCTGGGCAAGGAGGGGAGGGAATCCAGACAAGCGACACTCGGACCAACTAGGGGAGACCTCACAGCCATCCCCCTGCCCTTGACATTCCTTTGTTAAACATTGAAAAAGAACATCCCTGACGGAGGCGGAGACTAGTATTAAAACCTAATTTCACTCTTTATTGAGTGGAGGGAGAGCGAAGAGAAAACTGGCAACAATTTTTCGCCACTAGCACCTCGACGGCCGGGCTTTCCTGAGAAGCTGCGATGGGAGCAGTCGCTTTGCTGGCTGCATCTGAGACGGGAGGATCTCTGGGTGTCGTCCCACTGCAGGAAACTCAGGGCCCACAGGGCCACAGCACAAATCTCTGAGACGTCACTCTTAGCCACCACCCTGTCTTATTGGACAAAACAATTGCCACATCCCTTGCATCTACCTGGCTGCCACGCTCCTGGCTCTAGGTCCTTCATCATTCCCACCGCTGGGTAGTTGGCCTGCAGATGCCACAGCTGAAGACTCAACCAACCGCCCATCAAAAATATTTTTTTAAAAATCGCACCCAAACTGAACACGTACAGACTTTTTTTCTTGTTGTTTCCCCTAAATACAGCACAGCAAATAACAACTATTTATGTGATATTCACCTGTATCGGGTATTATTAGTAATCTAGAATTGAACACAAACGGATGTGCACAGCTTACAAGCAAATGCGGCACCATTTACGTGGGACCTGAGCCTCCCAGGAGGTTGGGCCTGGAACTAATCCCAGGGATACTGAGATGAGGTACCCGCTGCACCTGGGCTGGACACCCAGGAGCCACTCTGGCAGACCCATCACCCTGGGAAATGGGTTGCAGCGGGCCATAGAAGGGCTAAGAAGAGGGGTCTCAGCAGCCCTTCAATGATGGCAAGGTGGTCAAAAGGTTGTGATTGACAGCTGTCAGCCATGACCCTCAGAGTGCATGGCCCTGGCTGCAGAGAGCTGCCTGACTCACCCCCGCCTGGGACAGCGCAGATAAAACCACTGCGCCAATGGGGCACCAGCCCCGTTCCCTTGCCCCAGCCCAGGACAACCCTGCAGGGCCACCCCAGCCTCGGGCTTCCAGAAGGGAAAGGCTGAGACTTCAGCTCTCCCTCCCCGCCCTTCCTCCGCCCACTGAGGTCCTGCTGGGAAGGCCCCTGCCTGCATCTCCATCAGAGGGGCCTTCCCAGGGGCCCCAACCTGCAAAGCCCTCACCTCCATCTTTCCCCTTCTCCCTTAGGAATCCCCAACCTCAGAGGCCCTGGGATGGGGCAAGAGTCCCTCCCCAGCAGGGGGTAAGGCAGGAGCAGGGGTTCACCTCCCACCTCCACACAGACGAGATGCCAATGAGCGGGGAAGCCTGGGAACCAGACACCTTTAATCAGGAACCCAGGAGAAGGCGGCCGTGGCTCCTCCTCCCAGGGAGGCTTGGCAAACCCGACCTTCCTCCAAAGCCCAGCAGCCGAGCGGTCCAGGAGGATGCTGACACGGAGACCACTGTCTACGTGATTCTTACAGCACGTTCCGAATGCTTCTCAGTTACAAGGTCACGTTCAACCTTGGGGTTCCCATCCCCACCAGGAGCCCTGGGAGAGCCAACCCCTGGCATCGCCTGCCAGGTCTGCCCCTAGGGCTGCCCTGCAGTTCCTTGGGCCACTGTCAACGCTCTCTGTCAGAGTCTCTCGGGCGTGGTGACCGGCTTAGACGGTGGATTCCTCCTCCCTTGAGGTCCCCTCTGTGGGCGGCTGGGAACCAGAGTGAGTGGTGGCCACAAGGGCTGCAGAGAGTCTCTGAGGCCTGAGGGAGGTGGTGGGGGTCTCTGAGGGGCCAGGGGACACTGTGGAAGGTGCTGACGCTTCAGTCAAGAGGGTGGCAGGCAGAGGCCACCTGGACGCTGTCTGGGCCCCGGAGGCTGAGAAGGAGCGCTCGGGAGTGACAGGAGGTGGCCGACGAGCCCCTGAAGAGGCTGGAGGTAGAGTGGAGGGCTCTGAAGGGGCGGAAGGCCCTGGGGAGGGCCCAGGGGACGGGGAGGCTCTGGGCTGCCCTGGCCTCAGAGGGGGTGAGGGCGAGGCCTGGGCTGTTGAGGGGCCTGTGGGTGAAGTCTGCACGTTGGACCAGTTCGTTCTTCGGAGGAGCTGGAAGAGGTGGAGCGCTGGCCTTGGAGGGGCTGCCGGTGGGGGCGCCAGGCAGGAGCTGCAGTTGATGGGCACCTGGGTGTCTCCGCGGGGACTCCGAGCGGCTTTGCCCAATACCACGTCGCCATGAGGGGTGAGCCCCTGCGTTTCTCCCAGAGGAAAAACGGAATCTAGAGAGAAGAGGGAGAAACAGACTGTACAGGGTTTCTCTGGTGGCCAAGGAGGCTCCAGACACATGGGGACAGACACCCATGCTCTGTCCTCCAGGGGGACTCAGTCCACCTGGGGAGGACCAGCCAGCCTCTGCCACCAGAGACACGAATAGAGGGAGGCAGTTCATCCAAGTGGCTCTGCCAGGATTTGCAGTGCGACCCTGCACATACCTTCCCTGGGCCTCCATTTTCTGATCTGCAAAATGGCACAATAACAAGGACTTAAACTGATGAAAGGGTGCAGAGGAGTCTCGGCCTAACCCTCATGTAAACTATAGACTTGGGTAGTAATGCCGTGACCACGTGGGTTCACGGATGACAACAAATGTACCACTCTGGTGTGGGACGTTGACGTCAGGGAGGCGGGGGTGGGAGGTTACGGGGGTGGGAGGTTACAGAGCCGGGGGTCTGAGGGAACTCCGTATTTCCCGCTCCATTTTGCTATATATGTGTATACAGCTCAGCATGTGCAAGAAAGGCCCCGGGTTTGATCCCTAGCACTGAAAAGAGAAATTTTTTTTTAAGTCTTGACCAAGAGGCTGGTACACCACAATGGCTCAGCACATGGGAGAAAGATAGGGAAGGAGGTGGCTAAACAAAAAGAAAACAGAGGGTGAAAGGCAGGAGAAGAACCCTGAAGAAAGGTGTGATGGGAAGATGGACGCCCTCCAGCACGTTTAAGAATCATCCCAAGGGTGGTTAACAGCTCTGTGAACAGCTGGAAACCACCTGAAATGTGTGAACTTTGTGGTCTCTGAATCATATCTCAAAGAAATCTGCTGTATTATTTTTAAATGGTGGAAAGGAAGCAATTCCTATTCTACTTCGATCAGAAGCTGTTTCCCTTCGAGGTGCTCTGGTCACGAAGAGGCCCGTGGGGACCCTGCAGCGGAGGCTACACGTAGTTCCAGGCCAAGGGGCAGGCTGCGTCCATCGCCTCCTCGGGCCTCAGTTTCCCCACATGGAGTTCAGAGAGCAGAGAGCAGAGGAGCCCAGGGTAAGGCAAGAGAGAGGGCCCTGGGCTTGAGTCCAACGCCACCAACTGAGCTTCAGTCTCCCATCTGCAAAATGGAGATCACAAGTGCCGCCGTGCCAGAACGTTCCAGGAGCCGTCAGTTCAATAAGGCAACACGAGCAAGATGCTCAGTATGCTGCCTGGCACGTTCCCTACCAGTGACTCTAGAAAGCCAGGGGAATGACATCTATCTGCCTGCAAAGGAGTATGTGGAGGTTAAAATGAAGTAAACTCTGTCAACTACCCGCAGTTCCCAACTTCGTGGACCCACTGGCTCCGTGGTGTGGCCAGCACCACAGACCCAAGAAGCTGCCCGAACATCAGAAAGCATCCTTCAGAAGGCTACAGGACATCAACAGATATTTTATAAAAAGACATTCAGGCCCACAAGCTCATGAAAAAATCTACTGTTCCTAGAAGTTCAGAAAATGTTAAAAGCAGCCACATTTAAGGTACTTCATGTGGACACAGAAAGTTGGAAAAGTTAAAATTCTGAACGTGGTTGGGGTGTAGCTCAGTGGTGGAGTGCTTGCCCAGCATGAGCAATGCCCTGGTTCCATCCAGAACCACAGGGGGGAAAAAAGGCCTAAACAGTTTGAGAGAATATGCAGAAATGTCAGCAGAAGGTAGGCAAAGCAACACAAGGGAATACAGTGATCCCCCCATCCAAGGTCGTGTTCTTGCATGTTCAGTTACCAATGGTCAACCACTGTCCCAAAATTTTAAGTGGAAAATTCCAAAAGTAAACCATTTATACACTTGAAATTGTACACCATTCTGAGTAGCATGATGAAATCTCCTATCGTCTCACTAGGCCTAGCCTGAGATGTGAATCATTCCCTCATCCAGCGTATCCATGCTGTATATGCTACCAGCCTGTTCATTGCTTAGCAACCTCCGTTATCAAATCAACAGTATCACAGAGTTTGCACATAGTACTGTTCACAGTTTCAGGCATCAAAGGGGGACTTAGAAAGTATCTCCTATGGGTAAGGAGGGACTACCGTATTTTACAATTTTTTTAAATGGTCAGCTGTGAGCAACATCAATACTTGAGAATCATGTACATCATCATCTCCTGTTTATAACTACACAAAAAAAGATCCATATGGACGATCCAGGTGCTGCCGTGCATGCTTGCAGAGACCTCTTGGGCAACATAGCAAAATCCTATCTCAAAAAATTTAAAAATACATACTCTAACAGGGGAAGATGATAGATGAGGCAATAATTCTCAGGAATCAATACCTTATAGTGGCTGAGAAGCATTTACTGAAGGCTGAAATTCTGGCTCTACCACCCACTGTGACCTGGATCAAATCACATCACTTCTCTGTGCCTCAGTTTCTTCACCTGGCAAAGGTGGGGATGCTAATAATATGTATCTCAGGGGGCTACCACCAAGAGGGGAGGTGGACACTGGAAGAGCCCAACACAGAATGAGTCCTCATTCACATGCCGGCAACGACTGTCCCACAAACCTGACTCCATTCCCAAGTAATGATTTAAATAAGGAAGAAAAGTCCCAGTTACCTGGGAGGCTGAGGCCGGAAGAAGTGTGAGGCCAACCTGGACAACCGAGTGAGACCTAAGCTACACACGCCTGAGCTACACTGGGCACGTAGCCCAGGGGTACAGCATCCCCGGGTTCAATCCCTACTACCCCATTTTAAAAAAGGAAGAATAAAAGGAAGAAAGCAGAGGAAGAGACTGAGGAAGGAGACAATGGAGAAGAAAAAAAGAACAGGAAATAAGCAAACAAACATGCCCGGTGGCCCCTCATAGTGGGGTATAGCGAATGTTTGGCGAGGCACAGGCCAGCCTCCACTACTGTGTGACCTTGGGCAAGCCATGCTCCCTCTCTGAGCCTGGGTTTCTCAGCCACAGACCTTTCTAAGATCTGTGCTTCTGAGAATGGAGAGGAAGAGGATGATGGCGGACTCCAGGACCCAGAGCCGCTTACCTGGGCAGGAGGAGCAGCAGTCCCCGGGGGGCGGGGAAGAGTCGGTGCAGGCCTGCTGGCAAGGGACCTTCTCACAGCTCACCTCGCCCAGCTGTGGGAGCAGAAGGACACCCATGAAGCAGCGCGGTGCGTCCTGCCCACCCAGAGCAGCCCTCGGGAGCCTCCCGCGCCAGCCGTGGGGTCCCACAGCCAGGTCCCTGTCTGGACTTCCATAGAAGGAGATGGCCAGACCCCAGGTCCGGGTAGTCAACCAGGGCTGAAGAGCGAGCGGCTGGTTCGAGGGCTCCCCGTGGCCAGGAGCAGCGAGGCCCGGGCCAGCTCACCTGGCACGTGCAGCGGGTACAGGGCTCATCGTCCAAGGTGAACACCTGGCCGTTCACCACCTTCCTTCCCTCGTAGTTGCAGTCTGCAAGGCAGAGGGGACAGGCCTGTAAGAGCCAGGGCGACCTGGGCGCCTCGGGCACAGGCGGCTTGTCCCACTCGGCCCGCACTCACCACGGCACACCGGGCAGCACTCGCCGTCGGGGTGGAAAGGGTAGGTGCAGGCGATGGGGCAGTCCACTGGCGAACAGGCCACCGAGCCCAGCTGCAGGACAAGAAAACACACCAGGCCCTTCACAGAGGGCAGCGGAGGGGACACTTGAGAAGGTGCCATGTGCCCAGCGGAGCAGCCAGCGTGGTGGAGCCGTCCGGGGCAGGGTGCACTGGGGATGGCCGAGGTGGCAGACACTTGGTTAGAATCCATTTCCTGCCAGAACGCACAACCACAAGGGCAAGGCCTGGCTGGTCTACAGGTTCATCTACTGCTAGGCGTCTATTGAATGGATGCATGAACTTCCCAGGAAAGGGGGTCACCAAGGACCCCAAAGGGCTGGGCTGTGGCTCGGGCAGAGTGCTGGCCTGGCATGTGCAGCACCCTGGGTTCCACCCCCAGCACCACAAAGAACTAAAAATTTAAATTAAAAAAAAAAATAGGGAAGAAAACAGCCAGAAGCAAAGCTCCCTGCAGCATGTGGCTGTGGACAGATGTGGCTGACCAGCGAGGGTTGGTCTCTCAGGCCCCTGTGTGTGTACCTGGCTTCTCGAGCTTTCTGCACACCTTGCCCCTTTCCGTGCACCCCAGCTGAGGCTCACCCACACCCAAGACACTCTAGGTGGCTGTAAGCGCTTTCCCCCTCTGTTTTCCAAGTACTAAACTAGACCGTGTGGGTCGACCAGGCAGGATGGCTCGGGGTGTGCACACATAGGTCCCCAAGAGAGAAGGCCGGGGCTCGGAGCTCTGCATCTTGATTTACTAGTTGTGGAATCATGAACAAAGGACTTGGTGCCTCTGTTCTCTCTTTAGAAAGAACGAAGTGCGGTGCCATGAACTCTTGGATTCACTGGGTTCATGCATCTCTCTTTTTTTTTTTTTTTTTTTTTGATACCAGGGATTGAAGCCAGGGGCACTCAACCACTGAGCCACATCCCCAGCCCTTTTTATTTTTTATTTTGAGCAAGTCTCTTGTTGAGTTGCTTAGGGTCTCGCTAAGTGGCTGAAGCTGGCTTTGAACTTGCGATCCTCCTGACTCAGCCTCCAGAGTCACTGGGATTACAGGCCTGAGTCATGCATCGCTAGGGCTTAGAATAGGGACTGGCGCACAGGGAGGCCTCAAATGCTTGTTTAAAAGACTCTGAAACAGTTTGTTTTCCTGACCACTCCAGCAAGAGTCCCTGGGCCACATTTCATACTTGCAAGGAACCAGCCCCCAGACACTCCCTGGTAGCCCAGAAGCAGAGGACATCCCCCAGCCAGGGCTTAAAATAGTTCCCTGGTTCTGGCTAATGATTCACCCTGGGCAGGCTGGAGGGAGCTGTCTTTCACCAGGCCCCAGGAGTGACCCTTCTTGGAGAGGGCTCTGAGTTTGGCCTCTGCAGTCAGGAGCTGGTGTCGGTGGCTGGGGCACTTCAGAGCCAGGGGTCGGGGAAGGGTGGTCCGTACCAGGCAGATGCAGCTCAGACACGGGTCCAGCGCCGACGGGAAGGTCTCGTTGTTGTAGAAGATTCTGCCCATGTAGGTGCAGCCTGCCAGACAGAGCACGTGGTGAGCAGCAGCCAGGGGTGTGGATGTGGTGACCGGGCCCCTAGCCAGGGCAAAGGTCTGAAGCTTATCTGGATAACAACGTGTAGGACATGCGCCTCCCTGTGCGGTGCCCTGGGGGTCAGGCCAGTGACAAACACCCCTGGGGAACTGGTGTTGACTTTTGCTGCGCTGGATTTGGCAAGGGGTCACAGGCCTTGGCCTTCAGTGTTGTCACCCCAGATTGTGGGGAGAGGCCAGAGGGCATCAGAAGGAGAGCCTGGGAGACAGGAGGTCCCTGCCCTTCCCCACTCAGCCAAACCCAAACCCCATACCACAGCCTCTGGTTCCTGCACCCCCAAAGCTCAGTCTAAGACTCCACCATGATGAAAGTCATCACGTGACTGGTAAACATGACCGCAGGTGGCAGAACCGTAGGAAAAGACTTTGGAAGAACACACTCACCTAGCACACATCTGTTAAGTGTGTGTGTGTGTGTGTGTATGTGTGTAAACTTAAGGTTCACTGTGGTGATGGGACTTTTCTTCTTTGTACTGAGGATTGAACCCAAGAGTGCTCAACCACTGAGCCACATCCCCAGCCCTTTTTTATATTTAGAGACAGGGATTCACTGAGTTGCTAAGTGCCTTGCTAAATTGCTGAGGCTGGCTTTGAACTAGCAATCCTCCTGCCTCAGCCTCCAGAGCCTCTAGCGTGCACCACCAAGCCCGGCTGGAACTTTTTCTTTTTTTTCTTTCTCTATTTTCTTAAATTTCTGCAACTGCTAATTTTGAGATTATGAAAAATGTAAAAATTACTATTAAGAAAGCCAGCCTCATTTTTATTTCCTCTCGTAGAATCTCTAATTATTTAGCAGATACAGTTCCTGTGTGGCCCCACCCAGGCCATAAGCCCTGAGTCTCCTTGGTTCTTCCCCCAGCACCCCGAGACTGCACCTGCTTACTTCTAGGAGCCTCAGTTTCCTCATCTGTATAATGGGTTGCCCCACGGGGCTGCTGGGAGGCTTTCTTGGTGCTCAGTGCAGAGGGGCCTGGGCACTGGTTCCCCCTGTGCATCGCTGCCTGGGGGGGGGGGCTCTGGCCAGGAGTTACCTGCAGAACAGTCTGGGCAGCACTGTCCGGGGATGCGGATGGGGTGAGGGCAGGAGTCCACGCAGTCTGTCGTCCGGCAGCTCACAGAGCCATCTGCCTGAAGGAAGGAGCAACTTCACCAAGACCCACCTGGACTCCAGGCCCTGCCTCCCGCCCCAAAGAGGCAGCTCTGCACACTGGCCATGGCTTGCCCTGAGGGCTCCAGGATGCAGCTGGGAGGTGGCAGTTCCCCCCAGAGAGGACCGCTGCTTAGGCAGAGTGACAGGAGCCTTCCTGAAAGGTTTCGCGTGTCTCAGGAGAGGGGAGGTGAGAGCTGGGACTTCAGTCTCCCCGGCTTCCTGTCCCTCTGCAGTGGCAGCCAGAGGCCGCGCCATCGCCCCCTTCCAAATTCTTCTCTCAGCGTTTCCCTGGATCCCTGGCTCCCCCCAACCCTATCGAGTACCATAAAACCCTATTTTTATAGAAAACCATTCAGCCGGAAATGTCTATTTCAGAAGACAAAAATGCCAGACAAGGTTTCTTTTCCTTTTTCTTTTTCAAGAATCTGAATGTTTATGACCCTTTATTTCACCCTCTTGTAAAAGGAGTGACGAAGGCTCCTAGGGGAGAGAAGAGGCGTGAGACGGACTTTCCTGCACTGCAGCCAGCGAAGTGCGCCAGCTGCAAGGCCTCAGGCACCTCGGAGGCTGTGCGCAGGATCACCTGGAGGTTAAAAGGCAGAATCTGCCTCCAGGGATGTGGGCAGGGGCTGGGGACTGCATGTCCCTCGGGGGCCAGCGAGCCCCTCCTCGCTGCTGGGGCATGGACCTCAGTTGGAGAAATCAAACTCCCAGGGACCCACAGTTGTTTTAAAGTGGCAAGGGGCCCAGCAGGTAAACCAGGGGCTGAAACAGCCGCATTTCTTGGTAAGTAGCTGAGTTTGTGCTTCTGTCCATCTGACTCTCTAACCTCGCACCTTCTCCTGAACCTCTTCTGATTAGGGGAGGGCACGGGATTCGTGGACAGGAACACGACCTGCTTCACAGGGACAGCAGCATGCATGGCCTGGGCTGCCCGGTGCCCGCAGCCAGCCACGCCCCGGGCCACCCTCTGGGAGGGCTCCTAAGTCTGACCCCAGGGGCAGCAGCTCCCTGAATAAGCCGAGTGCACTGTCCCCAGGACAGGAACAGCCCTTCTGGCTCTGCCTCTGGGGGTCGGGGAGCTCCTCTGGGCGAGGCGGCGGGACAGCGGGTAAAGCAGCTGAAGGCGAGCAGGTTGTCATTCACCTGGCAGATGCATAACTCACAGGGATCACCAGGTGACCAGATCTGTCCAATCGGAAACTCAACCCCGTTGTCGTCCAGAGAGCAGCCTGGCGGGGGACAGTGAGGGAGGAAGGAGTGGGCAGGACTGCCCTGGGGACCCACAGCACCGTCCCACCTCGGAGGACCCCTCACACTCACGGACACACACACACACTCACAGGTACACTTTCACACAGTTATTCCCAGACACCAGCACAAATCCACAAACACACAGTCGCACACTACCCGTCTTGGCAGCAGAAGCCACACTCCTCCCTGGGCACCCCAGCCCTGCGCCACCCCCCCCCCCGGGGCCTCACCTGTGGTGGGCGTGGGCTCCCGGCAGGTGAAGCAGCACTGCCCAGGACCCAGCCACCGGTCCTCTCGGGGGCAGTCGAGCTCTGGACACGGTGTGAAGGAACACTCCACCTCCCCCTTCTGGAAGAGAGCCCAGGGCATGGCCGTGAGGGAGCTCCCTCCTGCGCCCCTGGGGGCTGAGGAAGAGGCTGGCGGGTGGCCACTGCCCTCCCCGCTCACGGGGAAGTGCTGGACCCCGGGGGGAGCAGACAGGGCTGGTAGGGCGCCCCCCAGCCCAAGCTGGGCCCTTCCCGCAGCCCCCACTGCCCTCCTCTCCGGCCCCCATCTACGCTCCTCTGCAGCCAGAGAGTCAGCAGGCCCCAGTCTGACCAAGTCTGGCCTAGAACCAGCCTCCACGACCCCAGCCAGCCGCCTGCTCCCCTTCACTCTGTGCTGCTCCACCTCTCCCTCGGCCAGGTGACCCCCTGCCTGGCACGGCCCTCCCTCCGCTCCTGTCCCCTTCAGGTCCCCACTCAGCATCCCCCCCTCCAAGAAGGCTTCCGGTGCTGGTGACCTGGCCACGCCCGCCTAGGCTGGGGGCTCTGCCAGGGCAGTGCTTCAAGGAGCCTGGGGCTGGGGGAGGAGTGGCCCTGCTGCCTCGGTCTCCCTTTGGGTCCCTCGTGGTGGTTTTCCCCGTCACAGCATCCTGGGTAAACCCCTGGCGGCCCCGCCCCCTCCCTGCCACCTCAGCCACCTACCTGGCAGACACAGGTGGTGCAGTCGTCACCACCCCCACTGAACACTGCCCCGTCTGCGTACCAACGGCCGCGGAAATAGCACCTCACTGCGGGAGAGAGGGAGAAGTGGCCCGAGGCCTTCGGGCTGGGCAGCTCGAGGAAGAGGGGCATGTGGGCAGGGGCCTGGGGTCCCACTTGGCACCACCTGCACCACCGGCCCCCAGCCCCAGGCACAAAAGTCACAACTTAAAAACTGACAGAATCACAGTGGCACAGGCCTGTAAGCCCAGTGGCTCGGGAGGCTGAGGCAGGAGGATCAGGAGTTCAAAGCCAGCCTCAGCAAAACTGAGGCACTAAGTGACTCAGTGAGACCCTGTGTCTGTCTGTCTGTCTGTCTCCTCTCTCTCTCTCTCTCCCTCTCTTATTTTATTTTTTATTCTAATTTGTTATACCTGACAGCAGAATGCATTACAATTCACATTACACATATAGAGCACAATTTTTCACGTCTCCGGTTGTGGAATGGGATGGACATCATTACCCTAAGTACATGTGTGAAGACGCGAATGGTGTGAATATACTTTGTATACAACCAAAGATACGAGACCCTGTCTCTAAATAAAATACAAAATAGGGCTGGGGATGGGGCTCAGGGTTCGAGTGCCCCCGAATTCAGTCCCCAGTACTCCCTCCCTCCCAAAAAAGGACTAGCTCATTAGTGGGTACACAGAGATCCCTCCACAATAGCCAAGGAGCAATGCCAAGGGTTGATGCAAACCCCTTCCTGCCTGCCCTGAAGGTGCTTCCTAGGGCAGGGGGCAGGCCTGGCTCTGAGCACAGTCCAGCATCCAAACCACCGAACCACTGGGCATATAATAGGTGCTTAGTAAAAGAGGGCAATTGAAATGCTTCACTCATCTGAATTTCTAAAGTAGAAGCCACTCTCTCCCCATCTCCTTTCCTCCCCCAACCCAACACACACTCAAAAGACACCCCTCCTTGCACACAGAGAAAAGCGCATCTCCAAGAGAGTCACTAACCTGGGACACAAGTACAGCAATCTGACTGCGGGAGGGTCTCACAGGGGCCAGGAGGACACTCGGGGGAGATGCAGGACACGTTTCCAGCCTGAGGCGGTGAAAGAGAGGGGAGGGAAGGAGGATGTGCGGGTTCTGCCACCTCTGGGCCCGTCACAGTTCAGCTCATGCCTCTCCCACCACACCTTTCTATCACGAGAGCTGTCCAGGGGACGCCACCTGAGAACTTCAAATGTCGCATGGTCACAGAGACTCGCTCCTGTGTTTGTTATGGTGGGACTCAGAAGGCGCCCCTTTCCAAGACATGTGGTTTCTCAAGAAAGGCCAGAAGGGAACGGAGAGCAAAGAGGCACAAACAGGCTCGCAGCAGAAGGTCTGTAGGGAGACCGGGCAGTGGAGCACACAGGGCCCTCCCACAGGGCAGGAGACCTCCCCTCACCTTCCGTGCACCTGAGTCTGGGCTGGAGTGCTCTTACCAGCTCTTCAAAGAACTGAATTTTAGAACAAAATTTTTTAATTTAAAGTTAAAATCAAAAAGCCCTTGGGGGCTGGGGATGTGGCTCAAGTGGTAGTGTGCTCGCCTGGCGTGCGCGGGGCGCTGGGTTCGATCCTCAGCACCACATAAAAATAAAATAAAGCTGTTGTGTCCACCAAAAACTAAAGAATAAGTATTAAAAAATTCTCTCTATATCTATAAAAAAAAAAAAAAGCCCCCAACTTTGGAATGAACCAGACGTGAGTTCCAGCATCTGCCCCTCCACCGACAGGACTTTGGACAAAGTACATCACCTCTCTGAGCCTCAGTCTCCCTGTCTGTGAGATGGGTGGAACCTGCTTCCTTCTTGATGTACACGATGTGGTCACCCACTACGCTCAGCCACCGTGTGTTAGGTATACAGGAAGAGCTCAGTGCAGGGTGCTGGCCACTGTTCAGACACCCCTGACCTTACGCTCCAGTCCCACCATAGATGCCAGTCCACAAGCCGATTTTTTTTTTTTGTGGCGGGGGAGAGTACCAGGGATTGAACTGAGGGGCATTCGACTCCTGAGCTGCACCCCCAGCCTTATTTTTTGTTTTATTTAGACACAGGGTCTCACGGAGTTGCTTAGGGCCTCAGTAAATTGCTGAGGTTGGCTTTGAACTCATGATCCTCTTGCCTCAGCCTCCCAAGATGCATGATTACAGCCGTGTACCTCGTGCTGGGTTAGAACCCACTGTTAAAGACAGTCAGAGGGTGGCAGTGAGGGCTGGTGGACAGGGCTGGACTTAGGACTCACTCAGACCTCAGCTCAGATCCTAGCTCTGATGTTTCCCAATGCCAAGGGCGGATACATCTGCTACAGTCTTTGCATCTGTAGCAGAGGGATGGTAAAGCTGGCCTCGGGGACCCCAGACAAGGGATCAGATGAAAGACACCCATGCGGCACACAGTGGGTGCTCATGATCAAATACGCACGACAGCACTCTGGCACACAGTAGGCACTTAATAACCATCCTTGCAGGCGTGGAGCGCCTAAAGCAGAGTACACTGGACAAACCCAGAGTGGTCCTGAGCTTTCTCCCTCCCAAACCGAACACCTTTGATTGTGCTGGCAAATATTTTGCCTGGAGAGAACAGGCTCCCTGGAGGGGAAGTTTCCAAGGGAATTTCATCCCGTCCCTTCCGAACAGATGGACCCTGTTCGCCTGGTGGCTCTTTCCTCCCAGCGCCCTGCAGTCTCCGGGCTGGACGCTGCAGGTTCCGACCAAAATCCACAGCCTGGGCACCCTCCCTCCTGGGGCACAAACTTACCTTGAACATCTGGGCTCTCCCCCTTCCTCTGAAACCCCTAAAGGTTAAGAAAACACACAGGAGCCTTCTGGGATCTGATGCCGCTTACCAGACAGACACAGACCGTGCAGTTCTCGTTGGGAGGTGAAAACACGTCGCCTTCCGCTCTGACGGCGCCACTGTAAAAGCAGCCTGGGGAAGACAAACAGGAGGGGCTCAAGCCCTCCTCAGACAGGAAATGAGGTCCAGGCCTAATGCACCTGGATGTCTCAGCAGTGGCAGATGCAGGGTCCCTACACTGTGGAACAACAGGGGAACCCTGGGGCTCTACCTATTGCCATCTGCAAGGATCAGCTTCTCTGGTGGCTCCGGGAGGGTCCACTCACATCTGGTAAAGCCACAACTGCCTTAAGACTGCAGTGTCTTATCCCCATCAGGGAGGAAAGACAAAGGACAGCCCTGCGCTCACACCTAGCCTGCCGGCTCAGTTTACCTGGGTGACCCTGGACACGACGCTTTGCCTCTCCAGAACTCCCTGAACTCTGACACTTCCACCACAGAATGGAGACATCACCCAGTGGGAGACTTGGAAGGATCTGCAAGCTAGGATAAGCTTGCAGATAAGCCCCAGTACTTTACATCCGGGGCTCAGTACCCAGTAAGGACATAGTAAAAGATGTCATTAAGAAAATCAGTAAAATAAGTGAACTTATATTTCCATGTCCAACCTTGGCAAGACTTTTTTTTTTTTTTCCTGTAGTGCTGGGGATTGAATCCAGGGCATGCTGGGCAAGGGCTCTACCACTGAGCCACATTCCCAACCCCCTTGGGAAAACTCTATAAGTGCTCAAGGCCCAGCAACCTCAGCATCATATCACCCGGAGATTCAGAGACACGCAGATTCTCAGACCCAACCCAGACCCACCAACAAGGAGACTGTATTTTAATAAGAATCTGGACAATTTGTGTACAAAGCGGATTTTGAGAAGCTCGGTTGAAGGAGCTTGGGTCTCTATCCCACGAGCCATGGGAAGTAAATAAAAAGTTGCAAGTGGTTGGGGGTGTTCGGTGCTGGGGATGGGACCCAGGGCCTGTGCATGCAGGGCAAGGGCTGGACAAAGCCACTCCCCCAGGCTGTGCAGGAGTTGAAACAGCTGCTCCTCCAGCCAGGGGCAGGAGTTAGGCAGGGGAAGGAGACAGCCGGGTGAGTCTGGAGACTCACTCTGTGAATTAGTGAGGCTCAAGAAGGATGCCCAGAAGACAAACAGGTCCTCTTGAGGGGCACTATGGCAGAGCCAGGCGCTTCTCCAAGTGTGGTCCCCAGAGCGTGACCCCGTGGTGCATGCCTGTAATCCCATCAACTCAAGAGTTGGAGGCAGGAGGATCACAAGTTCAAGGATCAAATTCATGTATGGCTCCCAGGTGAGAGCAGGGAGAGGGCATTATTGCCTTGGCAATTGAGACCCTGTCTCAGAATAAAAACTTAAAAGGGATTGGGGATGTAAGCTCAGTGGTAAAGCACCCCTGGGTTCAATCCCTGGTACTGTGGTAAAAACAACCAAAAAATAAAATAAAATAAAAGTGGTCTCCAGCCCAGCAGCCCCTGGGAGTTTGTTAGACGTGCACATTCCCAGGCCCCCAGATGTGCTAATCAGGGGGCGGGGCAAGGAATCTGCGGTTTACAGGGTCCTCCATGTGATTCCAGTGTAAGGGACAACTGCAGAACAGCAAGACCGCAGGAGGGCCAGGGGAGGGAAAAGGCAAACTGCGTCCTTCCCGCTCTTACCTGTGCACAAGGGGCAGCACCCCCCGTCTCTGGGGGGAATCGGGTGGGAGCAAGCAGCTTCACATCTCACCTCTCTGCAGGTCACCTGTCCATCCTGGAAGCACAGCAGGAGTTGCAGCCACCACCGGACCCCAGACCTGGCACCAGGACAGCCCAGGGAGCCCTCACACCCACCTCACACCAGCACTGGGAACACCTGGGCTCTGTCCAGTGGCTCCCGGACTCATGCACGGCTCCCAGGTGCCAGCAGGGAGAGGGCCTGGCTGCTAGCCTCGGGCTCCCAGGGCCCCTTGGTGAGGAAGGGGTCCCTACCACCTCCCCCTGGAGGAAGGAGGGAGGCCTGGGGGTCCTCAGCAGGGCGGCACTAGGCCCTGGGGTGGCCATCAGGGTGGAGAGCAGCCGGGTAGGAGCAGAAGGGAAGAACGAGGGTGGTGGCGAGGTGGGAGATGGCAGGTGGGTCGTCCTGGTTCCTGCAGGAGGTCCTGGGGCCCCCGGAGGAGGGCTGTGTCCTGGGGACAGGGCTGGCCTTCCCAACTCGGGCAGCAGCAGAGGCATCTTGTTGGGATGCTGCCGGGGCTGCAGGATGGCAGACGGGGCCTGCACGGCTTTCGGCAGAGCTGGAACAGAGGCACAGGGGTCTACTGAGGAGTAGGGCAGAGGTGGGGCCCAGTGTCAGGTGGGGCTCCGCTCCACCAGTCACTGTCTCTGGACCTGGTTCCTGATGGACACAGGGGTCTAACGGTGAGCCGCTGGGGGCACCCTGACAACCACGTGGGAAGACAGACAGGAAGGTGGCCACAAGCTAGAGGCCACAGGCTGGCGCGGCTCTTTCAGACGCTGCACAACCAGGCTGACCAGATCTCCTTCCTTGCTTGCCACGGAGTGGACACAAGTTTCCCTGAGCCTGGGATCCACCCTGGGACTAACGGCTGCCTGGCTCCTATGTCCTGATGGGCCAGTGTGTCCCCTGCTACCCCACCTAGCTAGGGCTTCCCCGGCGCTGGGGATGGAGCCCCGGGGCCTGGTATCCTCCAGCCTCACAGCGTGTGAGGAGGCAGGAGAGAGAAGGCAGAGGCCGGGGGGGAGGAGGGAAGGGCCGGTCAGCGACCATGGGTAGGTGTGCTGGGTAGACGAGTGGGTGGCTCTGAAGCGGGGGCATAACAGCCGCGCCCACCACCTACACAACTGCGGGTACACGTGTTCCCAGGCGCCCAAGCATGGCAGAGCCCTAGGACGCCACTGTCCAAAGCAGTTGTCCTGGGGCTCAGGTTACTGGGCTCTGACGTCACACCTTTCTCTACCACCACGGGTTTCTTTCCTCTTAACCATAAGGAAACATGAAGATGGAGTGGAAGGTAACACAAGGAGGAGGGCGGACACTGGAAATAATGGACAAGACGAACTGAACAAAGAGGGCCTAAGGACCTGGGGACAGGACTGGTGACCTGGGGACGGGGCCTGGGGACCTAGGGATAGGACCTGGGGATCTGGGGACAGAGCCTGGGGATCTGGGGACAGAGCCTGCAGATCTGGGGACGGGGCCTGGCGCTGGGCAGCTAGGCCTGTGGCTAAGAGCTGGACCCGGCACTCACCTTCACAGGACACACGGTCGGCTCGAAGCCTAAAACCAGGACGGCAGGAGCACAGGAAGCTGCCCACAGTGTTGTGGCACGAGTGGTGACAGACTCTCCTCTCCTGCGGCCTCCGGCACTCGTTCACATCTGCAGAAGACCCGGCCGCTAGTCTGGCTGGGAGCCCTCCTTGCCATCCCTTAGTCAAGAGGCTGGGGGAGTTTCCCTGCCAGCTTCTTGCCGGGTCCTCCCTGCTCCAAGATGCAGGATGTGACTCCGGTGGCTAAAAACGGGGCCAAATCCAGCACTAGTCACCTCGGAGGTTTGTGCATGCAGCAGTCATCTAATGGGTGCATCCACAACTCATCCCCAGCACCTCACAGCCATGATCAGGGTGGACAGTAGGAACAAGACCTGCTGAGGATCTCACTCCACACCTTCCACTGCCCACTTTTTCTTTCTGAGAAAGGACCTCAAGACTCACTGTGCTGCTCCAAGTGGACTTCAGGACCAACACCTAACTCTGCGGGGACAGAGTCTCTTTGAAGCCCAGGGGACCCCCACCTTCAACCCATGAGCCAAGCTCAAGCCAATCTCTTTCCGGAAATTTCCACTAATAAGCTGAGAAAACAGGGGTCTCCTTCTGTATCAGAGGAATCAGGTATAAACATGCTTTATTTACCCCGGGGAACAAAGAAGGCCAAGAAAAGGGGTGAGCAGGGAATCCTTGGTGTATCTGGGAGAGATCGGGGTGGAAGAGAAACCTAGTGGGATGATAGGGGCCACCACAGGGTCTCCGTGCAGAGCAGTGCTGACCCCGACAGAATAGAGGCGCAAACCCTTGGGGTTCCAGGAGACCCAGAGGCCTAAATGTTGACCTTCCAGGTCCAGGCGCTGACCCTGTCCATCTTGCTGATGGGCAGCCTAAGTGTGCAGACCACAGGGTCCTGACCTTACCTACGCACGAGTGCCGGTTGCCATGGAGATGGAAGCCAGTGCGGCAGGAACACTTGTAGCTGCCGATGCTGTTCCTACACCTCTGCTGACAGGGGGTGCCCAGGCATTCATCGGTGTCTGTGAGGGGGAGCACAGGCTGGCATCCACCTCCCCATGGAGCTTTAGAAAGGGGCGGCCCCCACCCCACTCAGGGCGGCAGGGGACGTCCTTAACTCCCATGTCCAGTCTAACGGTCTCGAGACTCCCTTACCCTCACCCAGCCCTGACCACCTGCATCTCCCAGCTGGAGAACAAACAGCCTCTAATGCATCTCCCGGCCTCCACCTGTGCTCCTTCCCAGCCTCCTCACAGGACTCCCAGGATGTTCTTGCCTAAGGGCACTTCTCATCCAACACTTCCTGCTCAAACCCCTCTGGGATTCCCATGCGCAGCCCACCACAGAGGTGCTCACAAGGCCTTTAAAGACAGTCCTGTGGTGCACACCTATAATCCCAGCACTTGGGAGGCTGAGGCAGGAGGATCGCTGAGTTCAAAGCCAGCCTCAGCAATTTAATGGGAACCTGAGCGACTCAGTGAGACCCTGCTCAAAATAAAAAAATAAAAAGGGCTGGGGATGGGGCTCAGTGGGTAAGTGCCCTGGGGTTCAATCCCTGATAAAAAAAAAAAAAAGCCGTCTCTAGTCTACACCGACTACCCGGCATCCTCCCCAGCCCTTACCATCACTCTAGGTTAGTTAAGTCCTTGCCGTCTTCCAAACACAACCCACTTTTGCAGATTCCTCCACCTCCACTTTTCTGTTTGCCCTGGATGCCTTTCCCTTATCTGGCTAGAAAACTCTTACACCTACTAACTCAGTTCCTGAGCACCTCCTCGGCACACGCTTCCCTGGGCTCGTGTGTGGAACTGTTCACCAACACGAGTTGGTGAGCTCTGGGACACTTGCCCTGCAGAGGGCCAGGCCGCGTAAACGGAACAAGGCAGGCCTGTTTACCCAAAGGTGGAAAAAGAAAACAGTGGAAGAAGACCGGGTTCAAATCCCAGTTCTGATGTGCTCTTGGGCAAGTTAGTTGATTTCTTTAAGCCATGGAGATGAACGGTGTCACCATCATGGAATAATTTCAGGGATGAAATGAGAAAATACAGGGAAAGCACAGGGCCGGGGACCCGGGACAGGAGAGTTGGGCAGGGCACTCAGTGCTGATTTGAGTTGTGCCCCCTGAGATTCCTCGCTGTGATGGCGTCTGGGTGCCGCCTTGGGAGACAGTTAGGTTAGATGAGGCATGAGGGTGGGATGTCAAGAGTGGATTAGTGTCCTCGGAAGTGACACCAGGCTGCCTCTCCCCTCGTCCTTTGCCTTCCTGTGAGGACACGGCAGGACTGTCATCTGTAAGCCAGGAAGAGACTCCTCACCAGGAATCACATCCACTAGTACCTTGAACTTAGACTTGCAGCCCCCGGAACTGGGAGACGAAAGCCCTGGCGTTGGACCCCCAGGCTGCAGTCTTTTGTTACGCAGCGGGAGCTGACTGCGGTGGAACACCAGGGGTAGTCTACGGTGAGAGCCGAGGGTAGCCATGGAGGGAGGGCCTGGATTGGCACCTATGACTTTTATTGTTTTTCAGATTGTGAAAGTTTATTTATGCTTTATGAAAATTTCACATGCAAAGAAAATAACAGCACAGAGTCAAGGGGGTGTTTCGTCTCCTCTGCCTTGTGTGAGACTGTCTCCTTATATAACCTACGTCAGTGAGTCACCTGAAAAGGAGGAGCACTTATTGTAAAAGATCTTATCCGGCTCAGGTAGGAGGGGAAGTCTCTTTCCTGGGCTCTCACAGTCCTTAGGCTTCATCCCTACCTTGTTCTTCCCCAAACTGCCATACAGGGTGGGGCTGGGGGTCTACAGCCTGGGTGTCCCCAGAGCACCAAGGCAGGGAGAACCAATGCATGCAACAGGCTGGTGACTCCATGACAACGCTCCACTCTGGCCCCTGCATCCGCTCCCACCCAGCCCTCCCAGCCCTCTTTCATCTGGGAGCCTCCACCCAGTGAGTCTGCTCCCCTGCTCACCCCTGCACCTGCAACAGCAGGGTCAGAGCCAGGGCCTGAGGGCCCCGCTGGGCTTCAAACCCCGACTCCACCTTTACTAAGAGCCTTGGTTTCCCCATCTGTAAAGGGGGAAGGTACAGCATGCCACTCAGGGGACTGTGGCACGGAGAAGGTATCGTGCAGGGCTCATCTAGAGCCCCCACCTCTCCTCTGTCCACTCACCCTGGCAGCTGTGACGGTCTGCGGCCAGCTGCATGCCCGGCCCGCACTCACACACGAACCCACCCTCGGTGTTCACGCAGTGGCCCTCGCAAGAGGAGCTGAGGCATTCATCGATATCTGGGGAGAGAAGATGCTTGCACAGCTCACTCTGAGCGTGGCCGTGACTCAGGGAAAACTGACCCCAGGCAGAACACGTGTCCACACTGGGCCTGCCCTTGGCAGCACGGAAGCCGGTCATCCTGCAGGGAGAAAGAGCGGGACCAGGAAAGCCATCGGGCTATGAGAGAGGCCGAGGGGCTGGGCCCCGCCCGACCACGCAGAGCGGATGACCTCAGGACGGCTGGGATAGAACAGTTTCCCGTGGCCCCAACTGTGGGGCAACCCCTCAGGCCTCCCCAAAGAGCAGGGGCCAGTGGACAGCAAGGCTGGTTGAATTATCCAGTGTCACTTTCTTAAATATTCACGGAGCACCGACGAGGGGGCCCAGGGCCCAGGAGCATCAGGAGGAGACAGGGATGGAAACGCCACAGCGCAGTGGGGCGCTCGGAGTCTGCACTGGGCCCCGCGGGGCTGAAGCTCAGGTTCCTATCAAGGCAGTGGGAGACAGGGCTAGGGTGAGACCAGGCTGTGCAGCCCAGAGGGGTCCTGCCCAGGAGGTGAGGGGAGCTGGGAGACGGGACTCCGCAGATCCTGCTGCGGGCATCCCCCGCTCAGCACCAACCGGGGCTTCCAAGGATCTACAGGACCAGCTCAGCCCACTTCAGTTTGCCTTGAGTCTCCCCACTACCTGGCCCTCATGCTCAAAGGACACCTCCACGCTCTTTCCCCCTGCTGGGCCTCTGTCTGGCACCTAAGTGCTCTTCTGGGGGGGGGGGGCGGGCAGGCCCTCAGAGGCCACGCCCACCGCCTCCAAGGAGCCCACCCGACTAACCCCATCCCAGGGGAACCTCATGGCTGTGGCCGGCACTACTCTGTCCTGTGCTTGCTTTGACATTGTGTGTGCCCAGTGTGCCTCTGCCGTGAGGAGCACGAGTGGAAAGCAGTCCCCAAGAAAGTCACGCTAGCAAGATGGGTGGCTCTGCGGCTTCTCCTTCCTGGAGGATGCGGTACAAGCAGCCTGGAGATCCAGACCCTTGACAAGACCCTTTCAGCCAAGAGTCCTCCTGGGAAACAGTCAGACAAGCTGGCGGGAAGCCTCTTCACTGCAGCATTATTTATTATTATTATTATTATTATTATTATTATTATTATTATTATTACAGACCACTTGGGAGAGGGGAGGTGGCCAGCTAGGAACCCACAGCAACTACAGCGCCATGATGGCAGCCCTTAAGAACAGGTCAAGCCTGGCGGTCGATCCCAGCAGCTCCAGAGGCGGAGACAGAAGGATCTCAAGTTCAAAGCCAGCCTCCACAACTTAGTGACAGCACTAAGCAAGACCCTGTCTCAAAATACAAAAGAGCTGAGGTTTGGCTCAGTGGTTAAGTGCCCTTGGGTTCAATCTGCAGTACCAAAAAAAAAGAATTATGTCAAAAGGAATATTTGGGGGACTGGGACCGTGGCTCAGCGGTAGAGCACTCGCCTAGCACGGGCGGGACCCGGGTTCGATCCTCAGCACCACATAAAAATAAAGGCATTGTGTTGTGTCCATCTACACCTAAAAAAATAAATATTAAAAAAAAGGATTATTTGGGGATTTCTATACTGTGAAGCTAAGTGGGAAAATTAGTGAACAAAATCTACAGCTGAGATATGATCCAACTTTATAAAACACACACAGATGCATGCTTTACACATACCCGTATAACACACACACCCAGGGAAGAGGGCAGAAAAAATACTGCATTTTAATAGCAAGCATCTCTGGGTGGGGTACCCAGGGGATGTCTATTTTTATCTTTTTACCCTTATTTTCCAAATTTTTGCAAATAAACTATCATTTACTTTCTGCTCACAGAGGGAAATAGTATTTTTACGTTAAAACTAAAAAAAAAAAAAAAAAAGTTTTTGTAGCCCTGGAAAGATAGGCAAGAAACCGGTTCCTCTTAAAAATCACAAGCAAATTCTAGTTTTACTAAAGAATAATTATTGAGTTTTGCTTTGTCCATCTTTCAGATGTCACTTTCCCAAGGAGCCGACCCTGCTCACCTGACCCTCAGCCTAGGCGCCAGGGTGGCCCCAGCATGCTGCACTTCCCCAGTTACAGTCCCCATTATATTGAGCTGACCTTGTCCTTGTCCCCTTTCCCCATCTTTGGAAGCCCCATAACAGCAGTGACCAACTGATTGTCCTCTGACCCTGGCCCAAGCTCAGCTCCTGCCCTTAAGAGGTGCTCAGTAAATATTTGTGATCTAACAAGAGTGACAGCCTCTTCCTTCGCAGGCCCGTGGATGGGAGGACACATAATCCCCCTCCCCTCCCCCACGGCCCCAGGCCTCTCACCTGTACACCTGATGCCAACAGCTGTCTCTGTCATGGAGAAACCTAAGGGGCACACTCGGGCCACCTCCTGACAGCCACCATGGTTACAGGTAAGGTCACAGCCATACTCCCCGCAGGGGCCATGGGCTTCTGAAACAGGCATGATACCAAACTGGTGAGCACCTGCCAACAGCACAGGCTCCAGGTGGCCAACCCAGCCCCCCTCCCACCGAGGCTCCTCCAGAATCCTGTTGGAAGGGTGTCCCAACCCAGCTCTGCTATTCCCTAGCCTTGTGGCCCAGGTTAAGACAGAACGTCTATGTCTCGGCTTCGTTCTCCTTAACATGGGCATAAAAATGCCCCCTAGGGGCTAGGAACATAGCTCAGTTGGTAGAGTGCTTGCCTCGCATGCACAAGGCCCTGGGTTCAATCCCCAGCACCACTCCCCCCACCACCACCAAAAAAAATGCTCCCTAATAGCAGGGGTTGAAAATAACAAGCTAGCACCCAAAGTCTGGCGTGTGACCTCAGTAAGTCCCTAAGCACTTAAGCTAAGTCCCGGAGCTAATTCAAGTGTTCCTGTCAACCACTGACCATCCTGTCCCATTACCTGGGCAAGTGGCCCCTTGCTCTCCGTCCTGGCAGGAACACACATTGGGAGCGATGCAGACTCCACTCCCGCAGCCGAAGGAGCAGAGAGCTGAGAGGAGAAATGCAGGTAAGGAGTTGGGGTCCCCCGTCTGCCCCTCAGACCAGGGACTGAGAGCCCTGGCAATGCACCCTGCTCACGTGTACCGAGAGGGCTCAGGGCACATGGATGGCCACTTACGCAAGGTGCAGTGCCCACTGCCCATGGAGGGTGCCCAGCCAGGGCAGCAGCCACTCCCAAAGCCAGAGAGGCAGACGTGGGGGCCCAACCGGCGTCTGCAAGAGAGGAGAGAGCATTTTCCACATTCTGTCCAGGAAGACACTGGTCAACTGCAAAGCCTCCCAGACAGTCTGTGAGTCAATTAACAAACAGTCCTCCAGAACCCCCTGGGGAAAACAATGGGAAGTTTTCAAAGAAAAATGTCAGTCTCTCCTGGTGGCAGGACAAAGACAAAAAGTGTGAGAGAACAGATACCAGCTTCCTATGGATGTCTTCCCCATGAATATGAATAGTGGCCTGGAGAGGGAACTCTGAGCTGAGGATACACGCTGAGGCTCCCAAGATGGCTGCCTCAGGACCTCTGCACTTGCAGTTCCCTCTGTTGAGAAGGTTCTTCCTCAGATGCATACCCTGCTCACTCTCACCCTTTACACAGGTCTCTGCTCATCATCTCACAGAGACCTTCCTTGCTTTATTCTTCTCCATAATACTTCCTGAGACACTATTTGTTAACTTGATGATTGCTCATTGTCTGTCTTCCCTATGGCTCCCTGAGAACAAGGGCTTCTTTTTAGTTGTTCATGCCAGCACCACTAGCCATGCAAAGCACATAGTAAGTATTCAATAAACGGCTGCTGAGGGAAAAGTTGGAAGTCGGGAGGGCACCCCGGGGGCACCAGAGAGCTACCCAAAGTTCCCCGAAAGAGGGTCTGCTCCATCAGGGACACTGAGCTGGGAGTGAAGAACCCAGTGTCCATAAAGGACAGAAGTCCAGACAGGCCTTCACCTGGGTGTTGGCTGCTGGTCAAGGCATGGTTGTAAAGCCAGGAACATGCCACTGTCCCCACCTACAAGGAACGTTGGATCGTCAAGGAGCCAGGTAATGAGAATACAGAGTGACAGTGCCTTAGTGGGCTGGACAATGAAGCCCTGAGGAGGGCCACCGGAGGGGTCCTGAAGTGCATGCAGCATAGCAGCTCAGGGAGAGGGGACACAGACTGGTGACTGGCAGTGACTGTTCCCTAGATGGGCTGCACAGGGGCCATACATCCAGTCCAGGTCTCTGCCACGTTCAGAAGCTGGGGGGCTGTCATTCTGCCAGGTGGGCATTTTCAGAGCACCCACCATTGCTTATTCCTACACCAGCCTCTGGGGACATGGGATAAGACAGATGTGCCCTCTCCTTGGAGAGAATCGTCTATGACAACTGTGGTGTATTCTGGAAAGGGAAGCTCAGGGGATCGTGGCAGTACAGAAGTCTGTGGCCTGGAGCCCAGGGAGCCTTTTCCGTGTCTCCGGAGTCATGGGGAGGGGGTGCTTGTCTCACCCATCCCCTCCTGGAGCCACACTGGCAGCAGCCTGGGAGGAGGGGCTGGCAAGGGGCCGGCAGTTCCAAGCTCCTCCAACAGCTAACCAGATGAGCCTCTGGGGGCTCTGAAAAGGACAGGCGGTGCCCCCAAAGCAGCAGATGGCAGGGTTCGGGGGAGGTTGGTGGCATTGCACCCTCAGGTAGGAAGGAGTGTAGCGCCACTAGTGCGTCCCAAGGAGTCTCCCATGGCTGGCGGTAACCAGAAGACAGGTGGCAGGAGCCAGTGTGCCACCGCACAGCCTGCACCTTCTGAGCAGGAACTGGCGGGGGCTGCGGAACACACGTGCGAGATGCAAGCCTGGCGGGGCAGTCCCCGCCGCGCGCCCCCCAGAACGTGGCCGCCGGCCAGGCCGCCCGCTGACACCGTGTTCCCTCACTCCAAGCATCACGCACACAGGCTCACCGCCTGCGACCGCTGGGGAGGGGGCAGCGGCAGGGAGGGAGCAGCAGCGGGGGCAGCGGCGGAGGCAGCGAAGGGCCCCACCCCCTCGCACACACCGGCGGAAATCAAAGCGTAACCCAGAGAGACGCCGGTGGCTCCAAGGTCCACTGAGCGCGCCAGGACACAAGGAAAGCCCCCAAGCCCAGAGCGGCGGGCGCAGCACGGAAACCAGGTACTGCCAGGGCGGATCGTTCTGGAGCGAACTCCAGCCAGTCCAGAGCTCAGCGCACATCCAGGGGTCCCTTCGTCAGGGATTCGCACCCCCAAGGCGCCCTCGGGCTCAATCAGAGTCTGGGTCTTGTCTCCCCCAGGTCAGTCCCAGCCAGAGGTGCACGACAGGCACTGACTAGAGGCACAAGTTGCTGTCTTTTTCCGGAGCCCAGGGGGTGCGCCCGCGCAGACAGAGCCCCGGAGGATGCCCGATCCCCCACCCCCCTGCCTGCAGCTGGGGGGCATCCCTCGGCGCTCCACGCCTGTTGCGCTCCCCTGAGCGGCTGTGGCGGGGCGCGGGGCGCGGGACTCTTACCTCTCCGGCGCGAAGTGCCCGGGCGGCTTCCTCCCCGTGTAGCCTCGGGCCGGGGTCTCCGGCAACAGGAGCGCGGCGCAGGCGGCCCGGAGGAGCAGTCCGGCCCACATGACCAGAGGCTGCGGGTCTCCCCGGCTCCGCTCAGCTCGGGCGCCGCGCGCGGGGGAGGGGGCTGCGGGCCCTCGCCCCTCCTCCTGGCGCGGAGGGGAGCGAACCAGCGATCCCCGAGCTGGCACGCGGAGCGGAGCAGGGGGGCTGGGGACGCCGGGAGGAGGGGCCCGGGGGCAACGGCGAAAGGCTGGGAAGTTTCCCGCACCACCGAGCGGAACACAAAAGGCAGCTCCGCAAGCCAGCCGGTGCCTCTCCCGGCGGCGCGGAGCCGGGGCGGGGGCAAAGATCAGGGACCCCTGGGGGCGGAGTTCAGCCCTAGGCCAACACCCCCAGCCTGGGTTTGGGAGTCGGCTTTCTGCGAAGGGCTGCGGGCGTCAGACAGAGGCCCTGGTCCGAAAGAAACTTCGGGAACAGGGCTAGCAGCGGGACTCTGCGTGCCCTGGGGCATTGCCCGTCTCGGAGGAACCCTAGACGCCTCTACTGTCAGGAAGGGAGAATCATGGAGATCCGAACTCAGGACGCTGCGTCGTCGCGCCCTCCGCAGTTCTAGGCTTGCCCTCAGACTCCCAGCAGGTCTGCACCCGGGCCCTTGCGTGCGTGGACTGGTGGGTCCGCCTGCTCCCTGGCCAAGTCTTGAACTTACAGGCTATTTGAGCACCTCGGGGTCCGATGGCCAGGCTCCGGGGGCGAGGCGGGCGGGGAGCCAGGAAAGCAGACCTGGAAGGCTCTCTTTAGCCTCCTTTTACAGCTGGCGGGTCAGAAGCTGGTAAGCTGCTAGGGGTTTAGGTAGGGAGTGATAGCCCATCCAGTGGGTCGCTGAAAGGAGAACCAGATTTTACCTTCTGCGGGGACCAGGAATCTTCCCAATTAGTCAAGTTTTTGCATAAATTCCCTGGATAAGGAATTCGGTATTTGTCAAAAGCGGCCCAGTCCCATTTTGAATAAGCTGGGTTTTTTTTTTTGTTTTGTTTTTTTCTGAAAGTGTCTACTTCCCAAACTGGCCAATTCTTTTGGTTCTGCCTCCTCCTGTCACTGAGGTCCTTGACATTGGTGGCCACAAATAAACACTGGGTACCTGCCAACTGTGACCTGGACACTCCCCTCCTTCTTGGATGCCCCAGACTTTTACAGCCAAATGTGGCTTGGCTGTTTGGGCAACCTTATGGTGCTGTTAGTTCATGACACGCTGTTTTCAGTAAAGGAAAACCTCAGGAGTGTGTGTGTGTGTGTGTTGATGTTGATGTCAAGTTCTCAGTCAGTCAGTTGCCAGAGTGTTCTGTATCATAGGTTGAGTGTGACCTCCATGTGTATGTGCCTTGAGTCCTAGATCAATTTTCCTTCTTGATTCAAACATCCAAAGGTCACCTTGCCTCCTCACTGCCAACTGGACCACTCAGTTAAACAGGCACTCCTCCTTCCTGGCCCCTCACCAGTTTCCTTAACACAGACATCATGGCTCATGTCGGCTTTCTCAGCACCCTTCAGCACACCTGGCAACCTCCATTCTGAACTCTCATACTTTAGGTGGGCCCGCCCCCTCCTCCATCCTTAAGACTCATTCTCTAGTAAGGTTTACTCTGCACCGTCTACAAGCAGATAGAAGAGGCTTTATGCAGCTTTGTGTTAGAAGCAGGCCCCCATCACCCCATGAGGAATTCTGGATACTTAGCAGGTACGGAATTCCTCCAAGAAATCCCCAAGGCCCCTTTCGGTGCCACTGGACTCCCTTCATTTCTCCTTTCGCTTCTGGACATTCACCTTGCTCCATGGGAGCTCCACAGCTGGCTTCTTTAGTTTTGCTTTTGCTCTTCTTTTTCTTGTCCTCCTGTTTGACCCTGAGCTTCTCGGTCTGGATTAAGAGGCTCTAGCTTAACACTTCTCATCTTTGAGGACTAGTTTGGGCATATCCTTTTTAATTCAGGTTCCTCAGTGTTTCTTCCCCACTTCTGTGGCTTGTGGCTTCTCGGGAACAAAAGGGACCCTCCACTGAGGGTGGAGGATCCAAGTTGCTGGCTGCAGACTGACGGCCTCTGGCTCAAGACCCTTCCAAATGGTCATGTGATGAGTCAGTGTTTCTATTATTCTCCCAAAGGTCCCTTCACGCAGAGGCCTGGAGTGAGGCTAGCTCATCAGCGCCTACATGGAACAGAGCCTGTCCAGCTGGCTGCAACAAGGCTCCAAAGACAACCTTTCACCCCTAGAGAGGTGATTAATAGTCTTTAAGAGGGGTGGGAGTGTGGCAGCAGAATGTCAGTGTCCAAAGGGTTGCTGGAATCCAATCCCAAGTGAATACACCCAAGACTAGGAAACAAAAAACAGCAAAACATGGCAAGGACTTCCAAATTCAATACCGAGGCCACTGAATACTGAATGTAGTGGGTCCCCGTGGCCATGGGTCAGATCACTAAAGAGCACCAGAATCATCCTCCCACCACATTCTTTTTGATATTGGCACCTTATAGTCAATCCACCCATCCAGGATTACATTTAAAAAATAATCACAATCCGAGACTGCTGCTTGCCTGCCTCATTAAAGTTTGTCTCTGGCTTGGGGCAGGCCTTTTTCAAATTCAAACCATGACTTTAAGAATTCAAATCACAGTATTGAGTTTCAAGTTCAAAACTGTGGCTTTTGACATTCTCTCTGAAGACCCTTACCCCCAACCCTCAGAAGTCTCAGGATAAGGGGAAAAAGAGGGCAATAAAATTTTTAAAAATGACTCCTGGGCAGGAGCCTTACTTAGGAAGACCCCAAAGCTAGGATGCTCCCTTTGTGCTTGAAGCTAGAATCTCTCAAAACCACAGTTTGAACTTGAAACCACAATTTTCCTGACACTGTTTCAAAGGCTGGACTTAAAAGGGCCAGCTGGTATGTCAAGATCAACTCTATCCCACTTTTGGGACAGAGTACCCTTTATTCCCACTGGATCACTGGCAGGGGATGGGTTCACTCTGACCCGCTAAGCTTAAAGATGGCAGGCTCTGTTTGCAGGACTGAAGGGCAAACTTCAAATGTTCATTTGATTAGACCAGAGGAAATGAAATTCTAAAGGGCGTATAGCAAGGAGGAACTAGGAGGTACATGAGAAGCTATTTGGTAGCCGAGTCTGGCTAGGGGATGGTTGACTGTCAAAGGAGGCTAGAAACGGCAGCCTAAGCAGCCCAGGGCCTGCAGATTACTAGCAGAGAACTGAATGGTGACTTCAGTCAAATGCAACCAAAATCACCACTGAATTTCCAAAACCAGACACTCAAATCACAGCTTGGAATCCCACCAAAACCAGTATGTAACAAAGGAGAGGTGCAGATGTCATTTCACTGCTTGAGAAGCATTGTTCTAATACCAAGGACAAGTGACTGCAGCAGTTGCCATAAAGCAGGGGACAGTGCCTAGGTGTGCAGTAAATGGGCAGGATATACCTAGGATGCTGGACAACTAAGCAAAGGGAAAAAAGCAAAAACAAATGTATCTTTCTTAGAGTCTACTTTATTTGGTAAAACTCAGAAACTAACAACCAATTCCCAGCCCCCCACCTCCTTCTCTCTGAAGAATGGAATTCCCAGAGACAAAGGGCTGTGGCTTGGGGATCATCCACCATCTCCATGTTACACTGGGGCAGCCCTGGCCCTGAACAGGTCTCCAGGCTTGATGCTCTCAGAGGCAAGAGAAGTAAAAGGAAGCTCTCACTTCAGTGACAAGGAAACCCTCCTGACTCTCTTCCCCTCCACCTGCAACCTCCCACACCCACAACCTAAATAATAAAGGAAGTAAGAGGACAAAGCATGAGTGTCTCACACACTCAGAGAGAGAGAGAAGAGAGAGCGAGCGAGCACGCGAACTTCCTTTCAACCAAAGAGCTGCAAAATCCCTCCCAGGAAGGAGGACAAGTGGCAACACCAATCAAGGCTTGGTGGTCCAAAGTGATGGCTGGAATCATATAAGACTGGTAAAAATCCAGGGAGAAAATATTCCGCCTTCAGCCCATTCCCAGGTGTCTAGTGAACTGGTTTTAGTCCTAAGAAAGCCCCATTTCCACACAGGCGAACTGCGGCCTCGGGAGCAGCTGGCTTAGGGAGAGGCCTCCCATAGCCAAGAAGACAATGGTGGGGAGGAAAGGGAGGGCAGGAGGGCAGAGCCTTTGGGCAGGGCCAGGAAAGGGAAGCCCTGCCCTTGGCTAATGGATCCGGGTTAACTCCTCCACAACCTTGATCAGGTCGTCTGCAGTGGCCTCTCGCTTCATACCGCTGCCATCGTCATACTGCAATGAGAAGGGGAGAAGGTCCTGAGGCCAAGAGGGCTCCCCTCCTCAGCAGGGGAGGGAGAAGCCCAACAGCCATTGCTGCCACATGAAGGACAAAGCACTCACCAGAAACCCACCTTGCCCCTTGGGGACACATAGGTGAGCAAGGTCCTTTGAGGCAAAGCTAGCTCTTAGGCTGCCCCAGGTGCACCATCTCCAGGGAGCAACAGCCCGAACTCCAGAATCATGGACATTTCTCCTGCCTGCAGGATTCTGAGCCTACCTCCCACCCCTGGGTTGTGCCAGAGATCCCGGATATGCCCAAACGTGCCCTCACTGCTACAGTAGAGGGGCTAAGGCGCCTGCTACCTCGAGTGGACCCAGGAGCCTTTCCCTCAGACTCATTCTCACGCAGTGAGGCTCACTAAAGGCCAGACAGGTCTGCTGGCACCTTGCATCCTTGGAGGACAGTTGTCTGAGTCCTGCCATTCTTCTGGCAGGCCCTGCCCTGAATACCACTTGGCCCAGAGTGAACTCCACACAGCTCACCTGCAGGTTTGCCACAACCTCCTGCATCTTGGGGCGGCTGATATCCAGGAAACTCTCAATCAGGTCGCCATCAATGAAGCCCGTGGCAGGTTCTGTCTTTCTCTCAGTGTGAAAGGATCTCCAGGTGGACAGGTGAGTTAAGGAATGTGTGTTTACCTGGAAACACCCTGACGACAATCATCCCCATTTTTCAGCAAGACCACAATCTACAATGACTGCCAGGACTGAATGGGAAAAAACAGTTTCAGTTGAAACACATACTGCTTTTTGGAACTAAAAGAAATTTTTTGCCTAATCCAGTGGTTCTTAATTGGGTAATCTTAAAATATGTCTTTAAAATATAGGTCAGGGATTAGCAGAAAGCCCTAACACACATGGGTATTTTTTTTTTTACAAGTACTCTAGGTGAGTATGAGGTACACACCTGGTAAGAACCACCTGTCAAGTCTAGCCCCAAAGCATCACGGATGAATACACAGAGGCTCAGTGACACAAGAGGATGCCCAATGTCCTACTTATTAGCAAAAAACCAAGACACCTACTCCCTCCTTGGGCCAGACTCAGAAAGGAGCCCTTCCACCCCACCCCTGGAGAGGACTCTTGCTATCTCCACACAACAAACTTCCAGCCACACTTGGGCTCTGCGTGTGCCTGCATGACTGACCCCAGAGTCCCAGCTTCTTCACTCTCCTCTGTTCTCCTGCTGGGATCTCTGGTGCCAGTGAGAGCTGCCCTTCAAGAGATCCCTGAGAGGAGACACTTCTGTGCTGTGATCTGAACTGTCTGACCCCCAACCAAGAAGGCCAGACGCAAACAGCTGAGGAACATGAGTCCACCTTCTCATAACCAGCTGTACCTGGGTGATAAGCACGTGGGACTCATGGTGCTATTCTCTACTACTATGTATGTCAGAAATTCTCCACACAAAAAACTAATGATGGGGCAGGGATTGTGGCTCAGAGGCAGAGCAGTTGCCTCGCAAATGTGAGGCACCGGGTTCAATCCTCAGCACCACATAAAAATGAATAAATGAAATAAAGATTTTTGCATCCATCTATAACTTAAAAAAAAAAAAAACTAATGAGAATAAGAGTCCTGTTCTGTACAGAAATATAGCCAAGACATTCCCTAAAGCAGCTCAGAATAAGCAGCTCTTTGCATTGCTGGGATGTGCTTCCCAGCATGGGGAGGGCTCACAGAGGATATAAAGAGTGCTCGATCTTGCCCACACTTTTGATGACTTTATTGAGGCGATTCTGCATGTCCAACAGGAGGTTGTACCAGCTCTCTGACAGTGAGGTCACCAGCCCTGAAGGAGGAAGAGGGCAGTGAGCCACACAGCAAGCTAACCAGGGCAGCAAGCCAAGCACCAGCAGGAGGAACATGTTTGCTGAAGCCTCTGGCAAACTCCAGGTCTGTCTACTTGCCCTCCCAGGTCCCTCCAAATGGCAGTCCCAGGAAAGAAGACTGTGTGGGAGCAAGCCCTGCAGGGGTGACCTTACCAATCATGCCGTTGACCGTGCCAAAGAGCACAGAGCCCTGTGTGGGGGTGGAAGTCTCGCCCAGATTCTGCATGACCAGAGAGCCGTGGCAGAAGACGTTGACAAACTCTCCCAGGTGGAAAAGCCCGACCTCCTGCAGGTGCTGCCGCTCCTCGTCGGTGGTGGCGGCACTGAAAGGTGGCATGAGAAGTCACTACTCAGACCCATCTCCCTCATGAGGCCGGGGTACAGAACTACCTCAGTGAACACCCTGTGCTGGGCATCCTGGGGAGCCCCTCTGAAGAGGCCGGTCGGCAGGTCCACACAGCCTTTGATTTTCATGAAGGAAATTCTACCCGTCAAGAGCAATTGAGCCTGAAGTAGCATCTGATGTCCTCAGCCCCACAGACCCAGGGCTCCACCCTGCCCACCAAACTGCCATTGTCACTCACCTGTCCTTCTGACACACAAACAAGTTAAAGGCATTTTCAGCCCCCAGGAAATTGTCGTCATCCAGGATTTCCACAGCACTCATCCAATTGGGATTAAAGTCTCGGGCAATCTTAAAACAGATGAGATGCAACAAGAAATGTAACTGGACTTTGTATGGAATCCAATTCTGGGACCTGTCTCTTTTAGTCAGAAGCCCAGACCCTACTCTGCAGAATATATAGCCCCATGTTTAACAGTTGCCCTAGAGATTTCCCCCAGATCTGCAACCAACACAGGCTATTTGGTTGCAACTTTACAGAGATGGAGCCTACTTGAGTTCTGGTTGTGGGGGGTGGGAGGTCCTCAAGAAATACTTATGGATACAGAACATATGCTCAGGGAACATGTCCCTGCCCCGGCTGGGCTTAAACACCCTCCGCACCAAACACCAGCAGGGGCTTCAGCTGCCAGACTGCACCCCAAGCACCCCCACTACCTCTTCGAAGTTCCCCTCCATGGGCTTGTATGCGAGCAGCAGCACTGAGCGCATGAGGTCGCCCACCAGGATGAAATCGCCCTTGGTCTTCAGGTAGAGCGCCATGATGTTGTTGTAGTGATTGCACTCGGTGCGGAGCTCCTTCTCTGTGGTCCACTCATAGAGCCGCACCTGGAAGGCACACGAGCCTCAGCCTGGGAGCCAGGTCCTTGGGTGCCCGTTCCCCACCAATGCTCCACTGCAGCACTGCATCCCAGGGGGCAGTGTGGGTGGGCACCTGTCTGATGTGGCACTGGACGAACATTTTTTATTTTAGTTTTTATACTGCTGAAATAGGAAAGGAGGGCAAGCACATCAAACGAAGAATACAACGTGTCTTTTACATGAAAAAACAAGCCCACGGAAAGGAGAGAGCAGTGCCGGTGTAACACTACAGACACAGTGAACGGGGCATCTTGTGTTCAGTTTCCTCATCAGAAAAGAAAAAGAAGGGGCTGGGGCTCAAGTTAAAGCACTCTACTAGCATGCGCGAAGCACTAGGTTCGATCCTCAAAACCACATTTTTATATTTATAAAATAAAGATATTGTGTCCACTTATAACTAAAAATAAATATTAAAAAAAAAAGAAAAAGAATACCTCCCAACCACCTCTGAACCCTTCTCAAAACTCATACATTCCTGGAACTTTTTTATATGAAGCCAACAAGTAGAGAAAACTGAATGGGAAAGTCCTACAGCAAGTACTACCAGGAACTAAAGGAATCTAAAGAACCAGATTCTGTGGCTGCCCACTACTGTCCTCCAGGAGGTCAAAAGAAACCCTATTTTTCTTCTCCATTATAATCTTTCTTTAATTTCAACCACAACTCCAAAAAACTGAAGATGGTTTATAATCAGTAGCGAAGGGCAGATAACTCAATATAGCCCCGTGCTAAAGAAAACAGATTCAAGTTGTCTGAGTGGACAGGCCTTCCCTGGCAGGTCCTTCAGGGCCTAAGTCATCCTGCCATGGCCTCTGCATATTGAGGAACTCCTGATCAGAACACATTAAGCCATGATTTCTCAAGTGATGTCCAAAGAACCCCAACTCCTCAAGTCATTTGTTGTAATTATAATTGCTACCATACCTCCATTCAC